ATATTCAAAAGTTGTTAGATTAAGTTGACAACAATCTACCGATTATCTATTTTAGAATTATAAATTATTGGAAATTTTTTTTTACATTCTTGAGAAAATTGGGTAACACAAATTGGAGATAAAATGAGAGGACATTGTGATTAAGATGTTTGGAGGTAATATTAGGAGAAGATAAAGACATGGGTATATTAGGAAGGAATGACAATAACGCGTAGTATACGTGATTTGAGTGAGGATATGTTTGTCAGATGGAGCAGAAAGAAAATATAAAAAATAATTGAGAAAAATACTTTACAGGATTAGCTTTCAATTGTTGAATCACCATTGCAGCATGTCTACACCTCAGGGGACATAAATTGATAAAAACCAGACGTACATCAAATGATGACGTACTAACTGTCTCATTGGACCAATAAATAATGATATTAATGGCGCCGCTAGCAACCACAAGTTGGTTAAGAAAATGTCACAATGGGATACAATTGACAACTCAATGAAAAGTCATGCATACTGCTTAATTGTGACCATCCACGGCAATAGCCGCTAATTTGATGCGGTGAAATAGAATAAAATAAAAAATAATAAAATATATATATATATATTTTTATTATCGTACTTAGTGTAAATTTTAAAATTAAAATTATCATTTCTCATTATATTAAAAAAATTATTATTCTATTAAAATCATTCTACTTTTAAACTAAAGAAATAATTATTTCATTCCATTTACATTTTTATTCTCATTTCATTTTAATTCATTCCACCATACCAAACTACCCTAAAGTCTTTACAAACTCTTCCATACAAAATTTTCTGGTTGGACACACATTACACATTTCGCTTAATTACAATTAAATAGATGTGACCTAAGATGTGACCTAATAACCTTTAATAGACAAAGTGATTGTCCTCGTGGGCGGAGCCAATGCATCCCCCCCGCATGTCCCTGGCCCCGCCCCTTCTCTTTGCATATCACTTATTTTATTTTATTTTATTTTATTTATTATTATTTTTTTAACATATGTGGTCCTCCTAAAATCTTCTTTACTAAAATTATATCTTATTATTATTATTATTATTATTATTTTTCCTTCTTTTACTCTTCAAATTCTTATATATACATATATATATATATATATATATATATATATTTAAAAAGTTACATTCCTATTTCCCTTTCATCAATTAAATCTTAATTTTTTTCTCTTCAAAGTTCTTTTTTTTATTATTTATTATTTATTTATTTTTACATTCATTGTTGTAATTTTACGAACTCAATAATTTCAAAATAAAACTAAATTTATCATGTCATTTGATTTTTTTTTTTTTTTAAGTCAAGTACATAAGGCCCTCTGAAATTAAATCGTAACTCCCCCGTGATCGTCCTTGTATATAACAGATTGAGCAAAGAAAGTGGAAGATTTGATTGGCTGGCTTGTGAGTGCAAAAAATAATTTTTTAAACTTTTTAATTTTATTTTATTTTGTATAAGATTTCTAATAAAATCTTTTCTGCACAGAGGAAATAGGGGAATTAGGGAGTTCAAATTGATGGAAAAAATAATTAAATTGTGTTTGGTTTAGAGTATAATCTCTCCATCGAGGAAGAGAGGGATTCGAGATCCTGAACTAAAAAGGTGTGTGTTTAATTAAAAAAAAAAAAAAAAAGGATAAATATTGCCATATTTTTGTTGTCATTGATGTGTCGAACATTAATTAAAATAAAGTATAATAGAATGTATTTTATTTAGAGTAGACAAAAGAGTCCTGATTGGAGTTTCGAATTGCTACCAAAAACTGATCTAGTAATATTGTAGGAGTTGTTTTTTAATATATGGCCATGATCGATTATTACATTATAAAGCTTTGATGCACAATGCCACTATAAAGTCAGAGATCCACTAGCATTGGTCAATCATGGAGTGCCACATAATAAAATATATCTTGATGTGAATACTATAAAATTAAGGCAAAAACTAGTATGATATATGATGAGTACATTTGCAATTGGCTTAGCGTAACTGCGTTGACAAAGTTGGTAAACACAACACCTTGAATTAGAAAATGATATCTTTGTCAACTTTTACCAAACTCATTACCTTACAGCTAGTGTAAGATTAAGGCTTTTTGAAAATTATTATTTGAATCTAACAAAAAAAAATTATTTATTAATTTTTAACAAGTTATTTTACACGTTCCAGAACTCGACGTTAATTTCGACCTAAATTTTTATCAAATACCGAAAAATAAAAATAAAAATAAATATTTTACAAGAAAAAAGAAAATATTGACACTATAATTGAAAAGCTTTTCATATTTTTGCCTTTTCTTCTCCTCTTTTTTATACAAATCTTTTCTCTTACCAATTAGGTTATAAGTTTTCTAATGCATAAAGAGGTTACAACGTTAATAAATAAATAAACAAATGCCTAAGTACACACTTAATTGTTTACCTTATTTGGTTAGAGCATAGTTGTGGGGGCAACATATTCTACCTTTATTTAACGGAAAAAAAAAAAAAAAAAAGAAGTCTACCATATCTTTTTTTCATTCAAATATTGTGTTTCAATTTTTTACTTCATGAGAATTCTAAGATCCACTTAAAGCGAATCTTAGAGTTGCTGCTAGAGATCAAAACATTAATCTTTTTTGTTTATTTAATGTCAAAATATACATACATACATATGTTATTTAGTTAAAAAAATTATAAATATGTCAGCGTCCCATGCATGCTTAGATCTGGATTGAGGGTAACGAAATCGGGTGTCAAAATTGTAGGCTTTTTGTCAACTTTCGAACTTTTCCTCTTATATATGTATAAAAATATATACTAGTGCGCCTAATGTGTTTTACACACACACACGTCTTAGCGGTGACAGAAATTTTGAAAGTAAATTTTTAAAATTTCACTTTCGAATCACACTATTAACTTAAACAGTGTGTGTTATGTGATCGATATATACTCTCTAAAAGAAAATACAAACACATGTAGGAGCAAGGGCAAGCAATAGCCTAAAAAGTTCTACAAAGTGACTGGTTAGAGAAGCGTTAGGTATGATGTCTCGTCATTAATTGGTCATACTTGAGACAAAGTTGTTGCTTCACAAAACTGAAAACCCTCTTCTTTCCTTTAACAAAAATCACCAACCATATCTACAACCTATGCATTCATTCTCCTTTTGGAGTCTCTTATACTCTAACCTCACAACCCACAAGTCACATGTAACTGCCAAACTATAACATTTGAAGCTTGATTATATTGTTTTTTGAAACAATTTTGTTAGCTATGTCTATTCATATATATATACACATTGTACATATAATAATGTAAATTTATATATAGATTTATGCTTATAGTTAGCTCATTACTCCATTCATAAATCTATACAAAACTTGTTTGGGGCAAATTTTTCTTTACCAGTTCAAGTTGCAATCATAATTGATAGATGAATAACTTTTTTCCAAGAATTGTTCGGCAGCACTATCTTTTAAAATAAATAATAAATTCTTGTGTATCATACAAATAATTCAAACGTACACACACATATATATAGTTATTTATAACTACAATTAAACGGTTTACAAATATGGATCAATGAAATTCCATTGCTTGTTCAACAAAGCAATGTACCTCCCCCACTAGGTGGTGAAGTAAAGACTAAAGAGTGTGCTAGTAATTAGTTGTAAATTCTAATTTTTTCTTTTAAACATATTTGCTGAGAGATGCTTTTGAGTGTTTGACTATTATAGCAAGCCACTTTCTTTGAACAACAACTATAAGCATTTCAATAATGCTTTGGACTTTGGAGTGATATGTCCAAATGCAATTCCATTTATAGAGTTGACCACATATTGGTGCCCCAACCCATCTGCTGAACCCATTCAACAATGGCGTGTGCAGCTGTGCTGCCACACCTATAGTGTGTTGTGCGTGTGCGTATATATATATATATATATATATACACACACACTACGTCCCATATTTTTTCTTTTACATGAAAAGAGTAATAAGTCAGTCGCTATTGGAGGCTGACGATACCATTCGATCAAATATAATATAAATTACACACAGTGTGTTATGTGTGTGATTTTTGACTAATTTTTCCATAAAAGTTTGGGAATAAGAAGACAAGAAAATTTTACTTTTGTATAAAATGTAATCAAATTTAGCTGTTTCCCAAAGTAACAACGATAGACATATGTGATTTAGGGTTGATTTGGTAGCGATATATTTTAGACGTTTTCGTTTTGTTGTATAGTATTTTGGCTAGAAATATAAAGAAAACTAGTTTTAAAAAATTTATATTATCAAAACATACCACGGTGATATGGGTTTGAGTAAAAAAAAACCTGATATATTATGAACTATTTCAAAATAATATCAATCGGTTCAAACATGATGAATATAAATTTAAAAAATAATATTTAAAAAACAATATCATAATACATTCCAAACAACTTTAAAAATTCATATTTTGGTTTTCAAACCATAGGAAAATAGAAATAGTTAAAAATTCAATTAATCTATAATTTACTAGGTACTTTTTTTTTTTTTTTTTCCTAAGGTAAAGAAAAAAGGTACAGTTCCAAAAACAATTTTATATTTTTTCTAAACATTTTTTAAGAGGTCTTTTTTAAAAATAAAAAAAAAAAATGGAAAAAAAAAAACTAAACCCAAACAAGTATGAAACGCCCTGTTAATAGTAGCCATGGTCCAATTACCCAACTTCTATTTTATAGATTTGGTTTCAAGAATTCGGATGATCTCTCATTGCTTTAATATTTTATTTTGTGGCACTATGCAATTATTATGTTAATTTAAACCACAGAAAAGAAACGATCCAGATTAGAATTTAGAATTACAATAGAAATCATTGCATATTTTCCGAGTCAAGCCATCCTTTTCCGATCCCACCAACCAACCCCCAACCAGCGCCCCTCTTCCTCTCTCTACCCTCTCTCTCTCTCTCTAAAATATAAGAAAATCAAATCAAGCGTGAACTAACTACCATGCGCCACGTGATCAGCTTCTCTCTTGCCATTTTTCCTCTCCTCCTCTGGGTAGCTGTTCTGTATCTATATATAAGCCCCACTCTCTCTCTCTCTCTCTCCCCACATCCTATATTCTTGCATTTGTTTCTCACTCGGCTCAGCTGAATTCGCGAGGCCCGCTGATCTTCCCCATCACAGGTATATAGATATACATCTCTCTTCACATATATATGAATGTGTGTACATACATACATACATATATATATACATAATTCATGCTAGTTGACCAAATCTTTGAAATTTTTTTTTTCCCGTTTTTTAATCTCCGTTGATATTCGAATTCGGGTCTGTATGATGAATTCGTTAACTATTGGATCTCTGTTCGGCTATGAAATTTTCGATTTTTTCAATGCGATATGCTCTACTTTGCTGCTTAGTGAGGCGTTTGAACCATTTAAATTTCAATTAGATTATAGTGAAATCGATCTATTCATTGCGATAAAAGAAGTGGTCTTCTTAAATTGGGGGATCGAGCATGAACTTCTGATAAGTTCATTATGTGGATTTGTTCGTCAGTCTATCGCTTTTAGTGTTCGTATCAACACACTGCGATCCGGTGAGTTGTTGCTTTCTGCTGTCAGCGTATTTCAGTAATTCATAATTGGAATAATCATTCAAAATTTTTGAATGATTTTATTGAATTGAATGGGATTGCTAATGCTGTAGATCTAATTTGTTGATTTGAGTTGTAAAATAAAAAATTAAATAATAATTACCAATCCTTTGTTGTCACTGGTTTGGTATTTATGAATTGTGACAATGAGGACAGAGTTACAGTTATGTGATCATGGAGCAAGAGGCTCTGACCATAATGTGTGAACGATGGTCGATTCCTAATTTTTGTTCTTTGTTGAGCTATCAAACCTTCAATGATTTTCATAGCAACCAAAAGAACTCATATTATTTTTCTTCCAGTTTATTATTATTTTTTGTTATTTTTTTTCTCTTGGCCGTTTTATGATGGGATCATACACATTATGTGCTTGTCCTAAAATTATTTTTAGTAGTACTTTTAGATCACACTTCATTTACCAGTAATCATCCTTGTGATGCAGGGGAGGGATAACTTGCATGTTTTTGTGAGATATCTTTGCACAACTTCTATTAAACAACTAAATTGTTGAATTATGCTGCAATCTCTTAGCTTATATGTGCAATTCATGTTCCATCTGTAGTCACTCTGAGTTCAGTCATTCTGATTACTTCATATATATATATATATATATATATATATATATATATATAATTATGTATTGTTATTTCAAAATAGAGGTATGCTTTTGAAAGAACTGTTTTTGATTGTCCTTTTTTCCCCACTCATTTCTTGTGTTACCGGTAACTTTCATCTTGCTTGCAATATGAGAAAGTTATGTGCTAATATTTATCTGTGCATAGGTCTTTTTGAGCCGACACCATGGCTACAGGACAACTTTTCTCCAAGACTACACAAGCATTATTCTACAACTACAAACAACTACCCATCCAACGGATGCTTGATTTTGACTTTCTTTGCGGTGTGTATATCTTCCCCACTGATGTTTCTGGGAATAGTTGCATCTTTATACCAGCGCTTAACATATAATTTTCTCATTGCTCAATTGTTTTTCACTGTTAATGTACTTTTGTGTTCTCTTGCATTTCCAGGGAGAGAAACTCCTTCAGTTGCTGGAATCATAAATCCTGGTGCTGAGGGATTTCAGAAACTATTTTTTGGTCAGGAGGAAATTGCTATTCCCGTACATTCAACGTATGTTTTATTGTTTCTCACTTTTTCTTATTTTTTTCTCCGTATATTTTCTATTTATATTTCCACTATTAATTTTGAAGATAAAAAGTGCATTTAATATGCTCCTCACTAAGAGATTTACTTGCATTTGATGACGTTGACTGGTATGCAGAATTATCATCATCAAATTATGAGAAGAAATTATTTCACTTGAACGTTTCTTTATCATAATCCAGTCCATCCATTGATTAATTGGCTTTATATCAACAATCATAGCTAATAGTCTATTATAATTTTTGCATGTTAAAAGGCACCAGTTTAAGCAGGCATCCCTCTCATATGCTGATGTTTACTTGGTTTTGGTCAATTGTTCTGGTAAGCTGCAAAATGGCTCATGAGACCAACCGGACATCAGTTCAATAGAATGAGTGGCTTGCTTTGTTTTTGACAGATTCCTTATTAGATATGGACTAAATTCTTAATCCATCTGTAATATTTCATAATCTTAAACAGATAACAGATCTAATTAACTACTATTATTTATATATATAAAGCTACTCGATATGTAATCTTGTTTGAGTTCGAAACATAGAATTTTATTTTGTTTATTTTTTTTATTGTGCTGGTATAATGACAATATTCTAATAGTTGACAAGCCAGCTTTGAAATTGCGCTTTTTATCTAAAAATCCACTTACCTTCATTTGGATTTTGTTCTGTTTTGCAGTGTTGAAGCTGCTTGTGCTGCACATCCTACTGCTGATGTTTTCATAAACTTCGCATCATTCAGAAGGTCAGTCTCCATCTTTTAATGATATTATGGAGGGCAGAAGTTCAGCGTTGGACTCCATATTCATTACAATTATTTATATTTTTTCAGTGCGGCTGCTTCATCCATGGCTGCTCTGAAACAACCAACCATTAGAGTCGTGGCTATTATAGCTGAAGGTGTTCCTGAATCTGACACCAAACATTTGATTGGTTATGCAAGAGCAAACAATAAGGTAGAGAAATGGTATCTTTTGAGATTTTTGGCCTTAATTTTTGTATGTAGTACATTCTTGAGTCATCATGAAGTAATTGGTTGAGGAGAATGACCATAGTCAATTCATATGTGGAACATACAGCCATTACTTGAGCTTTTGTCTGTGCACTTGCTCTTCATTCAGGTTTCTCTCATCATGTCTAGTTTAACAATAAATCTAATATAAATGCTGTTGGTCCTTGCAGGTTGTTATCGGCCCAGCTACCGTCGGAGGTATTCAAGCTGGAGCTTTTAAGATTGGTGACACTGCTGGAACAATTGACAATATTATTCAGTGCAAGCTGTACAGGCCTGGATCTGTTGGTTTTGTCTCCAAATCTGTACGTAATCATTCCAGAGCCTTCCTCTATTAGACTATTTATATAATTATATATATAAACATTTGCATATATATGTAATATACTCCACTGACTAGAGCTCAAAATGAAGCGGATCTTAAGCCAATTCATGTGAATTCTTATCCGGATTGGAACTTATGGACATGATCCGTGTATGACCCATATAATTTAAACTTATTCAAAATAGAGTAAAAAATATTTGGGCTGTTCGGATCTTGGGTAAAACCTGACCCTTTTAAGAATCATCCAGATCCATAACCAACCTGGTCCCAAAATGGATATTTCAATAAAGATGCATATCCGGTCCATTTTTTAATTTAATTAAAATCCAAACCCATTAAAACAGACTTCGGATCGGGATCAAACTCGCTCCATTTCAAGCCCTACTGCTAACAAGTCTTACCCTACACTCAAAAGAATTTCCATCATAGATATATTTCAGATTTGCCCCTAGCTTGTGATTCATGTGGCAGACTAGTAGCTGGATCTGCTTTTTGTTGATACAAGAAGTAATATTATTCTCTTCAATTACAGGGTGGCATGTCCAACGAACTGTACAATACAATTGCCCGTGTAACAGATGGAATTTATGAAGGTATCTATACATTCTGGTTAATTTGTTTATTTATTTATAGTTGTTGTGTTAATGCCTTAATGCCATGGGTGTTTAATTTAATTTTGTTATTATTTTGTGAATTCTTTAGGTATTGCAATTGGAGGAGATGTGTTCCCGGGCTCTACCCTTTCTGATCATGTTCTGCGGTTTAACAACATCCCACAGGTATGTCATTGTTCGTACCCAGTCCCTTGGGTATTCTTGTCATAGAGTTGTCTGTTGCATGTCTAGCATTTCTTGTATCTGAGAAACCTATCCACATAATCTGCATCAATTTGTTGGACAAACTAGCCCTGCATGCCTAAGCTTGACAATGCATCATTATAACAGTCTCAAAAGAGTGAGTAATCTACTTCTTCCCTATTGTGTCTATACTATGAAAGGTTCCTGATGTGATGGCTATTCAACTTTTTATGTTGAGACCGGACAGATCCTAGACCATCCAAAGTTGCCTTACAAAAACTTGATTTGGAACATGCGACTAATCTAATTCCATATTTTCTTGTAGATTTTTGAAGTTCCTATAACTGCCACATATGAGACACTATAGTGCAGTTGACAAGAATATATGCAAGTGTTTTGATTTTATACCACTTTTAAATATCTTAATTTCAATCTCAAAGATTACAAACAAGCTATGCTTGAATTTCTAATTATGAGTCAGTCAACGTGACAGGCATTCACAAGTGCGTCTTATCGAACAAAGTTATTTTAATGTTAGGTCTTAGATGGCATGAAGCATTATGAGAAGGTTTTACACGATTAAATTTCTTCTACTCCCCTTGTGCAGGTCCTTGAAGTTTGCTTTGTGTTTACTTAACTTGAAGTTTTGCTCTGTGTCAGGTTAAAATGGTGGTTGTACTCGGGGAACTTGGTGGACGAGATGAGTATTCCCTAGTTGAAGCCTTGAAACAGGGGAAAATTAATAAACCAGTGGTTGCTTGGGTCAGTGGAACTTGTGCACGTCTCTTCAAGTCTGAAGTACAATTTGGTCATGCGGTGAGCCAAGCCTGGATTTTCTTGGATGGATTTCTTTTCCCTTTGTTTTGGGTAGCATCCCAACCGTAATGTTGGCAGTACCAATAATTTTTCTAGATGTTATCTGAATCAGGGAGCCAAGAGTGGTGGTGAGATGGAGTCTGCACAAGCGAAGAATCAAGCACTCAGGGAAGCTGGAGCTGTTGTTCCCAGTTCATTTGAAGCATTTGAAGCTGTAATTAAAGAGACATTTGAGAAACTGGTGAGGTTTTTTCTTCTCTTTTTTCTTTCTTTTTCCCGGAAGGTAAACTGGTGAGCTTCAGGCCTTCTCCTAGACCGCATGTTTTACTAATTGTGCTTTATTGCATTTTGCTTAGGTCGAGGCTGGCAAAATTTCTGCTGTAAAGGAAATAAAGCCTCCACAAATCCCGGAGGATCTCAATACTGCCATTAAAAGTGGGAAAGTTCGGGCTCCAACTCATATTATTTCCACCATATCTGACGACAGAGGTATAGACTGGACCCTCTAATACTTTCAGTTGGTAAGTAGGTGTTTGATGGCCTCAAAGAATAATAAAAAAACCACCTGTATTGGGGATGCTAGGAGGGTAGACTAGACACGGACCTGATCTTCAGCTTTAAAAGGATTCCAACTAAGCTAAATTTGTCTTTTCTCTCAATTTCCAGGTGAAGAGCCTTGCTATGCTGGTGTCCCAATGTCCTCCATTGTTGAACAGGGATATGGTGTGGGTGATGTCATCTCCCTATTGTGGTTCAAACGCAGCCTTCCTCGGTACTGTACACATTTTATTGAGGTTGGTTTCCCAACTGAATCACTCTTAGTCTTGTCATGAACTTGTATACCTTTTATATTCTTGTTAGTCCAAAATTACTTGTCAAAAAGGGGAAAAAAATAGAAAAAGAATTCTTGTTCTCTAATAATTCTTCAACTTTACCTTGTCATTGCTGAGTTATCTTATCTGCTTTTTTACTAATGCACTTCACCTTAATCAGATTTGTATTATGCTATGTGCCGACCATGGTCCTTGTGTCTCTGGTGCTCACAACACCATAGTTACTGCAAGAGCAGGAAAAGACTTGGTTTCCAGCCTTGTTTCAGGTAATTGCAGCTATATAAAGGCTTCCTCAATTGAATCACAAGATTACTTCTTCGCTTAAATTGCCAAATTGAATGGGTTCTGCCCTGGGGCTGGCCTGACTTTGTGAAGGACAAATGAATTAAATGAGCTTTTGGAACAGGTTTGCTAACAATTGGTCCCCGATTTGGTGGAGCTATTGATGATGCCGCTCGCTACTTCAAGGATGCTTATGAGAAGGTGAGTTCTCATGAGCATTGTATATATAAATTGGAGCATATGTGGTGTCTGGCTACTCTAATCATTTGTAAATTCTAAGTTGTTATTGCTATGGTGTGTGTTGACAGGGTCTTACACCTTATGAATTTGTGGAAAGTATGAAAAAGAAGGGTATCCGTGTCCCAGGAATTGGACACAGGTATATGGGGCTTCTTTAACTTTTCTGTGTATTCAAATTATGTGATTATAAAACCTGTGTATTTTGTGTATTTTAATCATTAGATTAAAAGTACACACCTCAATATTTTCTACGTGTTCATACTTTCATTTGCTTGCACTCAAAATCTGAACCGAGAAACTATATTTGCTTCTTGTGGATAAGGATCAAGAGAGGAGACAACAGAGATAAGAGAGTAGAGCTGCTACAGCTGTTTGCACGCACTCATTTCCCTTCTGTGAAGTACATGGAATATGCTGTTCAAGTTGAAACTTACACTCTGTCCAAGGCAAATAACCTTGTCCTCAATGTAGATGGTGCAATCGGATCCCTGTTCTTGGATCTCCTTGCTGGCAGTGGTATGTTTACCAAACAAGAGATTGATGAGATTGTTGAGATTGGTTATCTCAATGGACTCTTTGTCTTGGCACGCTCCATCGGTCTTATTGGGTGAGTTGGATTGCTCTTCACAAGCTAAATGTCTTAGTTTTTTGTGTTGCGTTTTACCTTGTTTAAGTAAGGTATTATCAAACACTTGACATTGACAACGTGACAACCAGAGTTTCTTAACCTAAATTGCCTTCTTCGTTCAGTAAGATTTTAAATTTGATCTCCATGTGTTGATTGATTCATTGGGTTTGGTATCTACCATATCCAGTGGTGGTCAGTTTGACTCCCCATGCGCTGCAAAAATGGGAACGTTTCTTAATATTTCTGTGCTGCCATTCTATTTGATTAATATTTTGTTTTGTGAAATTTCAGGCATACCTTTGACCAGAAGAGATTGAAGCAGCCACTATATCGTCATCCATGGGAAGATGTTCTATACACCAAGTGAAAAGTTACGAGATAGCAGAAGGCACAATGCTTCACTGCTTGCATCAACCGATTCATTTCAAAGTTTTCACTACGCAATTTGTTGTGATTATTCAGTTTTAGACTAGCGTTTGTGCTGCTGCTAATGGCAGGACAAACATCTTCATTTGTAAGTTTAACCAAAAGTCGGTCCCCAATCACACCAGTGGCAAGTAGGAATTAAAGTTGTCACCATGAAGAGTCCTTTGTTTCTAGTTGAAAAAGGAAATAACAGATGCATTGTATTATTAATAGATTCATATTCAACGAGTTCTGTTCATTTTGTTTTTGTGTGATGAGCAAATCTAATGGTCTACAATATACATTAAATATTGAAAATGTAGAATAAATATGTTAAAAATGGATTTAATTACATTGAAAAAAACGTTGCAACACTCCAATTATTAGAAAGAAATATTACACATATGGAAGTCGTGGGTGGAAGAAGAAATACAATTATTGGATTTGGTTGCTGACGTCAGTGTGCAGTTATTTGTCGATATTCAAATTATTAAATCCCTAACCTAAATGATAATGATATGGGATACCAGATATGATTAATAATTTAAGTTTTTAAGTAGTATATAGAGCAATATATTAGTATATTAAGAGAGGCTTAAAATTCCAAATCAAAACTTTATATGGTCCAGAGAGTTGTTGGTGGGGCGGAGATGCGTTTTTCCAACATATTTTTGTTAGGAGGGACCATTCATTTGGAGGTTTAAAAACTTTTGGGGAAACCCGGTCCCAATGCTGGTCCACCGCGGGATATGATAATATCAATAATTTGTGAATTTAGGATAAAATAATGTTTTGTTTGTGTTCCCTCACTCTCACAAAGAGGTTTGTGGGCCACAGTCTCTTTCTGTAAGTGGCGAACAGTCTGATTCGGGTCATCTTTTGGGATGGCTTCTTCCGTAAATAAATCTCTCCTTTCAACAAACGATGATGAAGGAGTACAAAGATTTGGCGTAACAAACAGATAAGAGGAATCTGACTGCAGAAAGTGGGGATGGAGAGGGAAGATGGTGTCAATGTAGTAGTAATACGGAGTATGCTTTAGCATTGTATTAATGATATGTGGATTAATTTTCTCTATTAACATATAAAAATACAATTAAAAAGATAACAAATCTAATATATCTGAACCATTCTAATTTCGTATTGAAATGGTTTGACAATACTGGGAGATGACTAGTTTGTACTTTCACTTCTTATTTATTTATTTTTTAAATAGTCTATGAAAGTAAAAGAAATAAGATAAGGTAAGTTTCATTTACCTCCCCTTAGATTTGTTAATATTTTACATAGAACCCTCTTAATTTCATAATTTCGCTTACCTCCCTTATCAGTGACAACGGTAATATATTATTTTACCCTTTTGTTTTTGTTAATAAAATGTTTGCTGTTATTTTAAGTATTACAAGGCAAAATTGACCATCTATCAATTTTCTATTGTTGAACATATTATGTTTGTCTATGTTATATGCTCTAACAACACCGAATAATCTGTTACATAAACTACCACAACTCAGGATAGGTAAGTGCAATTATAAAACCAAGAAGGAGTTTATATTGGATATTGACACACCTCAGGAAAAATAGGTAAAATTAATCCAATAAAATAACATCTAGACTTTACATAAATGTAATGGATAATCTTTATTCATGTTGTATAATTAGCTTATTTCACTAATAATAATGCTTTAAGTTATTGAGATTGCGAGTTGGATGGAGTGACTCTTACAAAAGTTCCATAGTTCTTTTAAAAATGGGATTTATGATCACTATTTTATTTCAATGAATTTCGTGCCCTGGATGATTTCATGAATTTTAAATCGAGAGTACAAGACACTGTATTGATGATGCAACACCTATGCAACATCACATATGTAATATCGCTTATACAACATATTTAATTTGAAGATTTAACAATATATTAAGTATATTGAGATATAACATTGCCATACTATGAATTCAAGAATGCAACATTATTGTTACATTTTTTTGTTAGGGTATTAAGTATATTGAGATACTATGAAATCAAGACTGCAGCATTGTTGTTACATCTTTGATTTAGGGGCATTGAAACCATATATATTAGAATAATAAAAAATACGAGCGTTTGGTTTATATAAAGCACTTTTTCAATTGTTTGGTATCAATATTGTCCGTTAATTATACAATAATGTCCTTTAATAGAGTATTATTATACTTGATAATATAATGACTTTATACAAGAATAGATTATATCATCTTTATAAAAAAACAAAAATGAATAAAATTATCAAAGGAAAAATGGTTATGAAAAATATAGAACATCTTAAAAGCTACTTCACAAATTTTAGTTTCATTCAAAAATTTTGCTGAAATAAAATTAGTAATCATTAAAAAGCAATTCCAAAGACTTCTACTAATATTTGGTCGTGTTGCATTTTTTAATTTATTTTAAAAAATAATTTGATGCATTTTAAAATGTTATAATTCACCCTAATATAAAAGTAAATTTGTCCTAATGGGGTTGAGAGTAAAATTGCATTAATTCATGTCACTCTCGACAAAGAGACTCGCACAGTTTGAATCACAATTTTTGATAAATTTTAAATTTTTGACAATGATCTTTTTTCTGAACTCGTGCTCTATATTATATTTAAAACACGAATCATTAAAAACAAATTTTTGCAAACATCGTAACACTATGTCACGATCACACATGTGGGACACCATCTATAGTCACATGTCTTGTGGTGTCTGTATTCACGTAAGCACGTGGGATGAGAGAGTTTTGGGACAGAATAATTTTAGACGAGGCGGGATGTTGACCACCATCGCGACAAATTTTTTACACGTGGCGGCTCATGAATACAAGAGTTTTATCGGGGCTCACCAACTTGTACATGTTTACCGACTAGTGCTGGTTTCAGTGGGTACGTTTCAGTGGGCTCACTCGATCGTACAGATTCACAAGCTCTGCGTGTTGATGTCTCTGCGAGTGTTGTCTCCTATTGATACAACTGTTGCCTTCATTCTGAATTTTGGTGATATGTATTAGCGGTCTACTTAACTTCCGCGTGACATTTAATCTTTACATACGTTACAGCGGTAAGCTTGTATTGAATACTAAATTCATAATTACACCTATAAAATTAGTATCTTTGATAAATACACACCTCTAAAACATTAAATCGTTGCATACTTCTACAATTAGACTTATTAAATTAGTATCTTTGATGGATGGACTTCTCTAAAAATGATAATGTTACGAATGAAATTATTGGGTAATATATAAGTATATTTTTTTTTTTAATAAACGGTTAAGATACGTTTGACTAATAAGCAACCGACCATTCACTTAAATATCAATAGTTAAGCAACCGACCATTCACCTAAATATCAATAGTTAATAATAAATTCTGCTAAACTCCATTTAATTCTAAAATTTTCTAAAAAAAATACAAAAAAATTTCTTATGAAAGGTTAAGATACATTTGAGTAACATAAAATTGACCATTCACCTAAATATCTATATCTAATTATAAACTCTGCAAAACTCTATAAAAATTTTCTGAAAAAAACACACAAGAAAATAATAAAAACACGAGAAAATAAGTACCAAATACACTCTAGGTGATTTTGCAATAAAATAAATAAATAAATAAATAACACAAGAAATAAATAACAATTTTACAAAATCCAAAACAACCCCTCATCAAACAATGAGCAAACCAGACAACTTTTTTCTCTCTCAAAGGCCATTAAAAAAAACCAACCCTCTGAACGCCACACCACTATATAAATATTTTACAAAATCCAAAACAACCCCTCATCAAACAATGAGCAAACCAGACAACTTTTTTCTCTCTCAAAGGCCATTAAAAAAAACCAACCCTCTGAACGCCACACCACTATATAAACTGTGAAGTGTGTACAATCCGATCACATATATCAGACACATCGTTCAGCTCATGATCTTCCCTTAAGATTATTCCACTCCAACCCAACATCTTCATTTGCGTTAGGGTTTCAGACCCATTTTTCATTTACAATTCAATCCCACAACCACACTGAAGCAGTAAAAAGACGAAGAAATGGCTTCAGGAAGCAGAGCAACTCATACCCATCAACACCAAGGTCAAGGTCAAGGTCAGTCTTCAGGTCCAAGTAATGTTAGAGACTCAATTAGCAGAGCCGTCGCTCAGTACACTGCCGATGCTCGTCTTCACGCCGTGTACGAACAGTCCGGCGGGTCAGGTAAGTCGTTCGACTACTCACAGTCCATTAGAACAACCCCACAGTCTGTTCCAGAACAACAAATCACTGCTTACTTGTCCAAAATTCAAAGAGGAGGGCATATTCAACCCTTCGGTGGTACGATTGCCGTCGACGAGGTCACTTTTCGGGTCATCGCTTTCAGTGAAAATGCCCGAGAATTGCTGGGTCTCACCCCGCAATCGGTCCCGACTCTGGAGAAACCAGAGATTCTCACAATTGGGACCGATGTCCGTACACTTTTTAGTTCTTCGAGCGCAGTTTTGCTTGAAAGGGCGTTTGTGTCACGCGAAATCACTCTGTTGAACCCAGTTTGGATACATTCCAAGAATTCTGGGAAGGCTTTCTATGCAATTTTGCATAGAATTGATGTAGGGGTAGTGATAGATTTAGAGCCTGCAAGGACAGAGGACCCTGCCATGTCTATTGCTGGGGCTGTGCAATCCCAGAAGCTGGCAGTGCGAGCAATTTCAAATTTGCAAGCACTTCCAGGCGGGGATATTCAGCTTTTGTGTGATACTGTTGTTGTGAATGTGAGGGAGCTTACTGGGTATGATCGGGTTATGGTGTATAAGTTTCATGAGGATGAGCATGGTGAGGTTGTGGCCGAGAGCAGGAGACCAGATTTGGAACCATATCTTGGTTTGCACTATCCTGCCACTGATATTCCTCAAGCATCGAGGTTTTTGTTTAAGCAGAGTCGGGTTAGGATGATTGTGGATTGCAATGCAACACCGGTTCGGGTGATTCAGGATGAAGCACTAATGCAGCCTCTGTGTTTGGTTGGTTCAACACTTCGGGCTCCTCACGGTTGCCATGCACAGTACATGGCTAACATGGGATCAATTGCCTCGTTAGCCATGGCGGTTATTATTAATGCAAATGATGAGGAAGGTGCTGGGGGTAGAAACTCAACGAGGCTTTGGGGTCTGGTTGTTTGCCATCACACTTCTGCTCGGTGTATTCCGTTCCCACTCCGTTATGCTCTTGAGTTCCTAATGCAGGCCTTTGGACTCCAATTGAACATGGAGTTGCAGTTGGCAACACAGTTACTGGAGAAACGCGTTTTAAGGACCCAAACCCTCTTGTGTGACATGCTCCTTCGGGACTCTCCAATGGGTATTGTCGCTCAAAGCCCCAGTATTATGGACCTTGTGAAGTGTGATGGGGCTGCTCTTTACTACCGAGGTAAGTATTATCCGTTAGGTGTGACCCCCAGTGAAGCCCAGATAAAGGATATTGTGGAGTGGCTGTTGGCTTTCCATGGGGATTCGACTGGTTTGAGCACCGACAGTTTGGCTGATGCAGGGTACCCTGGGGCAGCTTCACTTGGAGATGCAGTTTGTGGGATGGCTGTTGCTTATATCACTTCAAGAGATTTCCTATTCTGGTTCCGGTCCCACACAGCAAAAGAGATCAGGTGGGGTGGTGCAAAGCATCATCCAGAGGACAAAGATGATGGGCTGAGGATGCATCCACGTACTTCATTCAAAGCATTTCTAGAAATGGTTAAGAGCCGGAGTTTGCCATGGGAAAATGCGGAAATGGATGCAATTCACTCATTACAGCTTATTCTGCGAGACTCATTTAAAGATGCCGAGGGAAGCAATTCTAAGGCTGTAATAGATGCCCAGCTTGGGGATTTGGAGGTGCAAGGGATGGATGAGCTCAGCTCGGTTGCAAGAGAGATGGTTAGGTTGATAGAGACTGCAACTGCTCCCATATTTGGTGTTGATATTAATGGAAGCATAAATGGGTGGAATGCGAAGGTCGCAGAGTTGACAGGCTTACCCATTGAGGAAGCTATGGGGAAGTCCTTGGTTCACGACCTTGTTCATAAAGAGTCCGAAGAAACAGTCGACAAGCTTCTAAACCATGCTTTAAAAGGTAATTCTCACTTTTAATATTTATTATTCCTATTAATCCTAGAAATTTATTAAGGGGTTGCTTTTTCAAATCCCATGGAAATGCAGTAGTCGAATTCTGTCATATATTTGCACTGAACGGGCCCAAGTACACTCTATAAAATGTAAGTGTGACGTAGATGGAGTCGAACCAGGGGTTTTAGGGTTTGAGAACTGATAACCTAGCTGTAATATTACTCTCATAGTGTATTTGGGTGTTTTTCACGTAAAATCGTGTGTTTTTGTGTGGTTGAATGATTTATTTATTTCTGCTCCCTATGCTTAATCGATTTACAGTGCTGCGCTCTAAATAAATTTGTGATGATTTAAAAATCAATTATTGTTAGTTGAAATTGGACAATATCTATTCACTGCCCTCTAGATCTATTTTAGGCCTTGTGCTACTCTATGCTAGAGACTCGGGTTATGGTCCTAGACTTCTCAGCAATAGAGAGTGAGGCCTTCCCCTTTGGGTCCATGAAATTCTTTGAGAGAGGGTATCTATGTTCACCTCTTTTCAGGTTGAGCACAAATCTGTATTCTTCCAAAAAAAAAAAGAAAAGAAAAGAAAAGAAAAAAAAACCCTCATAGATGTCCTTTTATGTGGTTGTTGCTAATGAAGGTGTACTTCCAAATTGTTCATGCTACAAGCTATGCAAATAGAGATATTGGCACAAGTGGCCATGTTCAACAGCAGCACGAGTTATCCAACATTACAACCTTAACATAGATTTTGGTATCCAACACAAGAATTACTAAAATTAGGGTATCTTTCCATAGGTTATTCCGAGTGTTACTAGACTGAAATTGATACATATTGGCAGGGCAACTTAGCATAGGGTGTCCAAGAATAGCAGTGTGAAAAATTTGGATGTTTTTCGAAGGATGATGCATGGTGGCTATTTGATATATTAGTAAGTACATGGATTTTGATAATAGAATTTGTAGATATTAACTAGGGAAAAAAATTGTGGATATTTGTTACTAATTCATTTTTTTTTCCTTCCTGAATTACTAATGCTTAATTAATGCAGGTGAAGAAGACAAGAATGTGGAAATAAAGTTGAGGACATTTGGCTCTGAACAAGAAAAGAAGGCTGTTTTTGTGGTGGTCAATGCTTGCTCTAGCAAGGACTACACAAATAATATAGTTGGGGTATGCTTCGTCGGTCAGGATGTTACTGGCCAGAAAGTGGTAATGGACAAATTTATCCACATACAAGGTGATTACAAGGCTATCGTACATAGTCCCAACCCTCTGATCCCACCTATATTTGCTTCAGATGAGAACACAATTTGCTCCGAGTGGAACACTGCCATGGAAAAACTTACTGGATGGACCAGAGGGGACATAATTGGGAAGATGTTGGTTGGGGAGATTTTTGGCAGTTGCTGTCGGCTCAAAGGCCCAGATGCTTTGACAAAATTCATGATTAGCTTGCACAATGCTGTTGGAGGCCAGGATACAGAAAAATTCCCATTTTCATTCTTTGACCGAAATGGAAAATATGTGCAAACTCTCTTGACAGCAAATAAGAGGGTTAACATGGACAGCCATATTATTGGAGCCTTCTGTTTCCTGCAGATTGCGAGTCCTGAATTGCAGCAAACTTTGGAAGTCCAGCGGCATCAGGAGAAGAAACACTTTGCGAGGATGAAAGAGTTGGCTTACATTTGCCAGGAAATAAAGAATCCTTTAAGTGGTATACGCTTTACTAATTCGCTTTTGGAGGCTACAGACTTGTCTGAAGATCAAAAACAGTTTCTTGAGACAAGTGCTGCTTGCGAGAAGCAGATGTTGAAGATCATAGCGGATGTCGATCTGGAGTGCATTGAAGATGGGTAAGTTTCTGTTGAGTTTGTTATTATTACTTATTTGTTTAAATTTAAAATAGATGAGATGCATGAAGAAATGTTTCTGTGCCTTTTGGTTCGTGGACACCTAAACATTTGTTTGTCCCTGGGGAAGATTTCCATATTGAGACTTAAAGCCTTGGCATAACATTTCTTACTTTAGTGCATGCGAACAGTGGAGGAACATGACATCAAATCTTACTTGTAATTTTTAGATTAGCATCTATTGCATTTCATAGGAATATAGTTGATAGATGTATGACAACCTTTGAATAGCTCTCTGTTACTGTGACAGTGGTACTTTCAGAGATTGATTATATATGGGAGATGGCAAACAGGGATCTTAGCAAGTCTTGGCATAACATCTCTTAATTTAGTTTTTGCAAATAGTGGAGGAACATGACATATAATCTTGCTTGTAATTTTTAGATTAGCATCTACTGCATTTCGTAGGTATATAGTTGATAGATGTATGACAACCTTTGAATAGCTCTTTGTTACTTTGACAGTGGTACTTTCAGAGATTGACTATGTTTGGGAGATAGCAAAGAGGGATCTTAGCGAGATTTACCTATTCGAGATCCGGGCTAGAAATCTCTGAATCTAATGATTCACCTTATAAATTCCCTTTGCTAATCCATTGTTTGTGGCTCATAACTATGCATAGGACTAGACCTTTATTTTTCTTAACTACACAACTGTATTAGGTTATGAAAAATCCCAACTTGCTATATCTGATTGTGATTTTAGTCAAATATGTTACCGTTTTTTTTATCTTTCCATTTATTTAACAATGTGTAATTGGAGTGCCACAAACCCAAAGTTGTTCTTCAAATATATATATATATATATTTTTTTTCCTACTTCTTCTTCAAAAATTTTATATTAGCTTGTTTACTTTTGTTCAAGGAGTCCTGCGATATTTTATATTTCAAAGAGAACTAAGTTATTTAATATTTAGAAAGATTTGCCTTCAACTGAAGCAATCCTTATATCTGGCAATTAAGTCAACTACATGAATTCTATTTTTCATTTCCAGTGGAGTTGCTCTATTGTGAATTTGTTTCAAATTCAGATGATAGTTTGATTTTTTTTTTTCCCCTTCTATTCTTGTGGTTTCAAAGATTTTTTAAAATAATCAAGAGCATTTTCGTTATTTATTTAATAAATTTTTTACCACTACCCAGTGCTGGCTCTGTCTATGCGGGTTGCTAGGAGGGAAAGATAAAGGCAAATCTTATCTTTGATATTATTTTGCACTAAGTGTGTTCTCAGACTTGAACCTGCATTGCCACAGATGTTAGCCCAAGCTTTTGCCATTGTGCTAAGCAATGGTCCTATAATTTTTGTATTAATAACTTTTTAGACCTTTAGCATTACTTTGACAATGGGAAAGACATGATCTAATCATTCAATTGTTCTCTGGTATTAGTTCATTAGAGCTTGAGAAGGATGAATTTTTACTTGGGAGTGTCATAGATGCTGTTGTTAGCCAAGTAATGATATTACTGAGAGAAAGAGGTCTGCAATTGATCCGAGATATTCCAGAAGAGATCAAAACATTGACTGTTTATGGTGATCAAGGTAGAATTCAACAGGTATTGGCCGATTTCTTGTTGAATATGGTGCATTACGCACCTTCTCCTGAAGGTTGGGTAGAGATTCACGTTCAACCAAGATTCAAGCAAATTTCTGATGGAATAAGTATTGTGCATATTGAAATAAGGTATGCCAGCCTCGCGTTACTTTTTATCTCTTCGAATTATATGATGATTATTGTTATTTTTCTTTTTTAATTTTATGAAAATGCAATTTCTACGATGGTCCTTCTGTCTTTTCCCGGTAAAAGTCTTATGAATCATTTGTAGAATTATGTACTTTGTAGTAATTTTCTTATACGAGTAGGAAAATTTTACTGTCAATTAATCTTTTGCTTGAAACTAAATATTAGCACATTTAGCTCGATATTAAAGGTGATTATGTGTTTGAGTTGGTATCTTAGTTGGACCAAATCATTTCTCTTTCTTTGCATTGAGTTATTACATCATGTTTGATAATCTTCGATTTAAACGAGTATCATCTATATGTAACACTATACAACCTGATGGTCTATTGGGAAGCATAGAATATGGTTTGCATGTGAAGGTGCATGAAGTAACTGTAATAATATTATTTCCCAGTAGGGTAACGGTTGAATCTGGGTACTCTGAAGTGTACCAAAACATGCTGCATAGAGTTTTCTCATGTATGAACTATGTACATGGACACAGCTGTTGTGTTTATTATTATTATTCTTATTTTTATTGTTGCATCTAAAAAATGGATACGTGCATTGCTAGGAAATCTTTATTTCATCTTTATGTTTTGATCAATCTGTAGTTTTTTCAGTTAAAGATATTTTTTCCCTGCACAAACCGATACATATTGTTTCTATCAGTCAATTGACATTTTTGAGTTTTCTCGGGTGATAGAAAGCCAAGAGGTTTTTCCATATCAACGCGATGGTTATGAAGAGAAACTTTAGAGTTCAATTGAACCATATTGTAATGAAATTGTAGTTTCGGAACAGGAAAAAAAGAAGTAATTGATTTTAGTCAAGGCGGTACAATTTCTGTTGGGATCAATGGTTGGAATATGAATATTTTTATCGACTGTAGAATTCACTAAAAAAGACTTTTGGCACTTTCTGGGATGCCTATATATTTATGTTATGCATATGTATATCTGGCTAGGAAGCACGGACACTCCAAAATGAGCGAAGAATCCGTGTTCGACACGTGTCGGATACGGACACGCGTCGGACACGCCTCGACACGTGTCGGACACGCCAAAAAACGTGTCTGGAATTTTTTATTTTTTTTGAATTTTCGGACACGGCACGGACACGTCTTGGACACGGCACGGATACTCCGCGGACACGGACACGGACACGGCATGGACACTTCTGGAATTTTTTTTTTTTTGAATGCTGATAAGTTCTTTTTTTTTTTTTTTTGTTTTGTACTACCCTTTCGGTATTGTAAATGGTAAAAGTCCTAGGTCAAATGATGGATGGGAATAGATGATAGTACACTGACTTGTTTTTGTATCTTTTTTGGGGACTAGCCTTTAGGTTTTTGTGAATGTTAAGTGCTAACAGTAAAGTCATGAATGTTAATAGTCCTTTCTGTCTATGCTTTTTTATTTGGAGTAAAGTTGCAATGATGATTAAATGATACTAGTTATTATTCTAATGTCTTATTTTTTATTTGGTTTTATAATTCTGCAACATTGTTCTTTTATAGTTTATTAGTTATGAGTTTTGATTTGTGTTTTTTTTTTCATTGTGAGGTTGATGAAAAATAGTAACACTCAGTAATTTTTAAAGTACTACATCATATATATATATATATATATATACTATTCGCTGTGTCCGTGTCCTAATTTTTTTGGATTTGCCATGTCACCATGTCGGTGTCGTGTCGTATTCGTGTCCCGTATCCGTGTCCGTGCTTCTTAGATATCTGGTATCAATTAGATATCATAAACCAATCATCTAAAAAACCATCTACATACTTTAACAGCTCTGAGGGTAAATATCAATAATTAGGGGGTTCAGGTGTTTAGTATGATCATAAGAGCTTTTTGACATGGTCCAAGGAGCCATGTATGTTTCATTGCTTCTTGTGTCTTTGTTATAAACAGCTGTAAGTAATAGACTTTTCTGCAGGTTATAGTTGATATGTGACATGTTAGAAAGTCTATGGATACTATTGTGCTTTATCTAAGAGTGGGAAGAAAGCCTATACGCAATGGATGGTGCTTTATCAACCCCAAGGGGTTGGCTCAAGTGGGTAAGATAGGATGGATTAATTATTTGGAGACGAGAATCTTTGTTGATAGTATGAGCTACAGATTATTTTAGTTGTGTTAAGATATGATGGATTAATTATTTGGAATTACTCATTAAAACTCTTTTCGAGCAAAATCATTCAGTTCCTAAAAAATTGTGCCTAAACCAGTTTCTCCTTGCAGTGAATTGTTTCATTGAAACTTTCTTCTGGGTCTCTTCGAACCATATTTGCTTTGTATTTAATTTTCTTGAAATTCCATGGTTATTAGTGCATATATTTCTCCATAAAAATAAAATCTTAGCCCATAATGAAGCCTTATTAGATTTCTTTTTATTTTTATTTTTATGAGTAACAGCCTTATTAAATTTAATTAAATCAGTGGGCTGCATCAGAGCTGTATCTCCTCTTTTGCCTGCAAACACCATCATTTGTTGGATCTTTTGTATTTAAGTTTCTTATACTACTTTCCTTTAGTTAATCTTGAGTACAAGGATTATCCAGATTAGATAGAAGATAAGAATGAAACACTTCAACTTTAGGAGTATGATGGTCCTTCTGAAGGATTATTTTAAATATATTTTTAACATCAATTTGAGGTTGACTAAGAAAAAATTCCGCATTGAGTTAGTTTTTGAGCCAATCTACTCAACATATTATTACTGGCCTAAGGAGACTAGATTGAATTTAATGTCATTGACAGATTCAGGACGCTAGTGATTATTTGGTCAGTTCCTATGATGCAAATGAGATTGTCCACTCTTCAGCTAGAAGGAATTTCTATTGTAGTTGGGAACACAGTTCTTTATTGATGTATTGCTGTTTTATGATGTAAGTTCGTCATTTAGTTGCTGGTATGAAAACTGAAAACAAAATGTAGGGGACTTGCAGATGTAAAACGTCGCAAAATAGAATTGATAGACAAGACAGCAGCCTGGAAGAAATCACGGTACTAGTTGCTTGGGGCCGAAAGGTGTGATCTCAAGCAAGAGTGTTCAGCCTATATTGGGGGCTCTTGTTTCTGTGTTGTAGACTTGTAGGAATTGCAACAATGTTTTTCATTTGTTCTTAAACCCCGTAACCTGTTTTGTGCTCACTAGTTTTATCATTGATGCAAGACAATTGTCTGGCTTTTAGTTCAATAATGCATGGATAGTTTAGGTGTTGCTAATATTTTTTTGAATCATACTTGATATCCTTGATATTTCCAGAAGGGTTAAGTCGCTTTATATGCTCCTTTTTACAACAAATATTGTTCTTTGTCCTCTCTTGATTTATTCTGGTTTATTTTTTGAAGCTGGATAACTCAGCGTTTTGCCCACTCATCCATTCGTGAATGTTTTCTGATTCATTTACCATGTTGTTCTGGACCCCTGGTGACATTCCGATAGTCCAGATTATCCCATCAACTAATTATTGTTAGTTACTGAATGTCATTTTGGTTGTGTTAGTCAATAGCGTGATAAAGAGAGACAAGGATCACGAGTCTGAGCGATTAACACTTTCTTATTCTTGTTGCATCCCTCCCCGTCTTCGAGGTACCTTTGCCCATGGATAACCTCACCGGACAGAGTTCTCAATACAACACGATAACACATTATAGATGGACAACTAATATGGGGCTTCACCTATGGAGACTTGAAGCTGACCTCAAGTTTATCATGGAATGGGCTAAGGCAATAATTTTTATTGTTGAAGTCTTAAGGAACCCAAATGAAATTTAGCCAAGCTAATGTCTACTTCAATCTTTGTTCATATTGATACTATATAGTATATGTTTTAACTAATTGTTACTGGGAGATTTAAACAATTTCATTCCCATATACCATGACATAGTTTACAAGGATGTGAACTCTTGATCCTAATAAGTTCCAAATTTGCACACCATATATAACATTATAGCTAAATTTCTTATGTAACTTGATATCTGTTACTTTGATTTGTGAAGCAACTTTGAGTTGGCGCCTTTATATATAATATAATATAGATAGATAAATGGCGTAATCTTAGCTAGCCGATCTACCAGTTGTAACAACACAACTATATAAGCGAGACCCTTTGTGCCAAAACTTCCATTAATATCTGATGCAGAACTTAGTTGGGTATTCGGAGTAGTTCATTTCGTACTTTCTGTTTGCATAGTCTAAGGTAGAACATCTGCATTGGATTAATGTTATACAGTATAATTATATACAGGACTGAAGTCCAAGTGATAACCACTTAGAGAATGCATGTTACACAAGTTATTTTGTTAGTTATGTTTAGTAACACGGAACTGATTAACGTGCTAGACTCGTACTTAACTAATATCTGTATTTTTTATGAAGGATTGTATGCCCCGGTGAAGGTCTTCCTCCTGAACTGGTTCAAGATATGTTTCATGGCAGTCGATGGGCGACTCAGGAAGGCCTAGGGCTGGGCATGTGCAGGAAGATCTTAAAGCTTATGAAAGGTGAAGTCCAATATATCAGAGAGTCAGAAAGATGCTATTTTCTTGTTATCCTCGAACTTCCCACAACTCAAAGTAGCTCGAAGAGTGTTGGCTAGGTCCTCCTTAAAGTCAAACTGAGACATCACTCCCGGTGTTTATCTTCGGCACTTTTGCGGATGGTTGCATAAGATGAAGTACAAAGTTTGCTACTTGTGTTAAAGCCTCCCAAGTCAGCATTTGAGCCGGTTTAACTTTCGTTCACCCCTACCGGTTTGCCAACACCCTTTTGACGTTGTTCCATTCAACAATTGTGTCAAGTGAGTAGTTAAATTTTGACCCAAGGTGTATGTCTAAGATTGCACTAATGAGGTTACGTCTGATGATCGTCCAGATCTTCATATCACATACTTGTATATTTTAAATGTAATGTGTTCCTGAGCTCCAAAGATAACTATGTAACAGTTACTGCTTTGGAGATAGTCCCTGATGAGCCCTCTCTCCTATTTTATCATTGTAATAAAGTAATAAACCTATTATCTTGATCCAGTTTTTGTTAGCAGGTAGGGTTGTCTACTTGTCTCACAATTGGACATTTCTAATGGCTACTTGGGGTAGGTCATTAGCCATGATTCTGATGCCTCTTATCTAATTCCCCTGTTCACTGTTATTGGCATCCATCGGGTACACGCTGTTCATTTACCGGTGGTTTCTTGGCATCTTGATCATCAACCCGTACACACTGTTCATTTACCGGTGGTTTCTTGGCATCTTGATCAACAACCCGATAATACGCGATGTAGACTAGGGTTTTCTAAGTTTAGAATAGGTTCATACATGCTGTCCCCATACAGATTAGTAATATGGCACACCTAGTTTGTAAGCCCAATGCAGGAAATCTCTCAAGTATGCTAAATCCAGTGACCTCAGCCCTACTGTATTGCTTCGAACAGTCAAAGCTGATGATTTAGGATGGAAGGGCAACCCCTTTCAAAACCAGCTAAATGACCCACTGATGTCAGTTTAAAGAGAGAATGAATTTACATAGAAGCCTAGATGTTACTCTAATAGAGACAGTTGAAGTGGAAAAATTAATATGAATAAAGTATATTGAAAATTTAATATGAATAAAGTATATCTTATATACATAAATATGATAGCTTAGTGCACCAGGGTAGGGTTTAGGATGGGTAGATGGACACGGTCTATCATTATATAGAGAGGCTTTTTTTGATTTCAAACCTGTGACTTTCATATTACAGTGGAAGAAGGCAAAGTCCACCCTCACGTTATATATATATATGTATAAAATTGAAAATTTGTTTGTAATATTGATTAGTTTTAAAACCCAATAACCGTAGCTGTTTGATGAGCATGCAGGTGAACTTTCCAGGTCAATAGTGAGTTTAGATGCAGAGCGTCTAGACTGTTCCATGAATGGAGATAAGTACTATAATATTTCAACTTGTGGCCTGGTTATATTATGATTATTAATGTTAGATTGACTACAAGTGTGTATGAGAACAAGTTTCAAGGTTTGTCTCTATCATGTACATAATTGTGTGCGTGCACGCCCTTAAATAATGCTGTGCACGCAAAACATGTTAGGGAGAGATATGTGGTACCGTACCTCTCTCTTGCCTCCTAAGTTAAGCCGTAAAATAAGGATAAGAACAAAGAAAGTGGGAAAAACAATAGGAGGGTAAGAAAAGGAGGACAATAACTAGTAGCATGCAAAGCCATAAATTGAAGGAATGAAGAATAAACATTTCTACCCCTATTTTATTTTATTTTATTATTATTATTATTATTATTATTTTCATAACTCGAACATTCAACTTTTTTTTAAAACTTATATCATATAGGCTAAGCGTGCATTGGTAACGGTCAATCTGAGAGAAAACAACTTAATCGTCCACAAAACCAAACATAACATGCATTTAGGTATGTTTCAATTTTATTGAAAAGGTAGGTTAGGTTGCACTAGTAGGATTCTTGTAGATGAAGAGTGGAAACAAATATGCTTCCCTATGATGCTTCTTAATTTCCCCTAAGCAAACTCATCTTTTCTAAATGAGACAATTTTAACCTAATATAGAATCCCATCTTGTTGCACATGTATGCATGTGCCTTCCTCCACACATTTAACTTTTAAATTAAGAAAACCACTAATTGCTTGCACAAGTTAGTTCCATTCATAAAATTAATTCTTCTCTCGTGTCTTTGGTTCAAAATTCAATAAAAATAAATTTTAATCTTTTAATTTACAGACGATAGAGTTTGTTTGAATACCCTTACGTATAGTTAGAGTTTGCTTGAATACCCTTATAAGAATTTAAAGTGATTGGCAATCAATTATTAATTATTTATTTTTAAAAAAACTAATTAAACCCACAATTGCTTTAAACTTCTTTTCCTGTGATTTTCGTCCAATGATATATGGAGGGTTCTCATCAACATTAAATTGTAACATTTGGTTATTTTATTCTGGTTAGGTGAAGTATTATAATGAAGTAGGTCCAATCCATATATGGGCAATTCAAAAATTAATTAATCTAAGCATGAAAATAACCCATCGGTTCTATTCATTATAACATCCTGCCAAAATGTTTCATCTCTTATGTCTATCTAGTGTTTTGCTAAAACATCACTTGAAAACTATGCCTCTAAACTAAAAATGGTAAACACACTTTCGGTTTCAATTATTATTTTCTACTGCATTTTTTTTTAATTTTTGGGCATATAATAAAGATTAACTTTTCAAAGTATATTATATTGGTGATAAAATATGTAATTTTATAAAAAAAAATTATTATCAATACCTATCCGATCCGATCCGAGCTCTCTAATTAAAAATGTAAGCTAAATATTTTTCTAAATTATATAATATTTGAATATTTATTTTAATTTCAACAACATTTTCTAACTCTTGATAAGTATTTATTTTCACTTTTTTATTTTTTATTTTTTATTTTTCATGCACTACATTTATTTTGTTATTTATAGGGGGAATAAGATTATAAAGTGAAGAAGTGGTGGGAAAGTGGAGCAAATATGGTTTGGTACCTTTTAACTAAAAAAGAAGTGACGACGGATGGAAGGATCATCACGCGCCATGATCTATCGTGTTCACGCGACGACGAGATTGGGGTTAGTATATCGCAATGTACTGGCTGTTGTGACCAGTAATTTACACGCGCTTCAATGAGCCTGGTATTGCAAAAACCATGTTTAACAAACACAAAATACTCAATTGGATTCAGAAGATGATGAGATAGGAATGAGCTGAGAGCAAGAGAGGGGCAGAAAAGCAAAACCAGAAGTATAGAGAGACAGAGAGACATTTTAGAGAGAGAGAAAGAGGAACCGTATACCTAAAAAAGAGGGAGAAGACAAGAGTAAAGATAAAAAGGTGAGAGAGAATGAAAGCAAGGGCTTCTTGACCTCTCAGGGCCCCTTTTCAATTCCAGCAATTGACTATACATACATACACATATACAGAGCATATAGAGAGAGAAAAAGAAGAGAGGAGTTTTAGAGGGAAAAAGTGAGTGAATCAGTTGACAGATACATCCATTCCTAATAATCATACCTCATCATCATCTTCTTCTTTCTCATACTTTGTTCATGACATAGTCAACTAGGTATTGTTCACCTTCAGTTTGCTCATCAATGGACTCACCACCACCAGTTGAAGAGCTTCTGAAGAAGATCCAAGAACTCGAAGCCGGACAAGCCCATCTCAAACAAGAGATTTCGAAGCTCGCGACTTCCAACGATCAAAAATCGGACCAAATTCAACAACAACAACATGGTGGTGGTTCCCACCAGAGGTCCCACTCAGTGTCGCCGCAGAGGTCGGCGATTTCGAGGCGGAGAGGAGGCGGTGCCGGAGGGTTCGACGGTGGTGCCGCGGCATGGAAGAAAGGTTCGGCGTCGTTTCGGCATCGGCATTCATCGCCGTTGCAGAGGGAGAGTCGGAGTTGTGACACTTCCAACGCCACCACCGTTGGCGGTTGCGCCGAGGATGGGGGTGATGGTGGGCCGGCTGCTGTTAAGTTTACTGATAGGCAGTATTTGAATATATTGCAGTCAATGGGTCAGTCAGTTCATATATTTGATCTTAACGGTCGTATAATATACTGGTGAGTCAATTCAATTACATTCCTATTTTGGTAAAGTTTGGTGCTCATATTCTAATTCTCTTCACACGGTGACAATTGTTCATTTCGGTTTCTCTCTTCCTTTGATTCACTGTGCTCGGTCTACTACTGGTTTTGTAATTCTAATGCCTGTTTTTGGTGGATGATAATGTCTTGTATCCTCAGTTGGCATTAATACTAAACCCTAGAAAAATATAATTGCCTTTTGTATTTAGCTTCTAAATTTATTTGCTTAATAGGTTCAGTCGTTTTAGAAATAATAAAATGAAATGAAATTGCAGCGGTAGAAAATTCCATTCCATGGCATATTCAATTTTGCAGGAATCGAACTGCAGAACACCTTTATGGTTATTCTGCTGCGGAAGCTCTCGGGCGGGATGCGGTTGAGCTCCTAACAGATGCCAGAGACTTTTCTATGGCTAATAACATAGTACATCGTGTGACAGCAGGGGAGAGCTGGACTGGGCAATTCCCTGTTAAAAATAAAAGAGGTGATAGGTTTGTAGTCATTGCAACCAACAGCCCGTTCTATGATGATGATGGTACTTTGGTGGGGATTATTTGTGTATCCAATGATTCGCGTCCCTTTCAAGAAATGAGAGCTACATTGTCACAGTCTGGTATAAAGTACTCAGATGCGGATTCGATCTTTAGCCGGCCTAGAAACATTGCTTCAGCTAAGCTTGGTCTTGATCCTGAGCAACCTCTCCAAGCTGCAATTGCCTCAAAAATATCAAATTTGGTTAGTTTCATAGTTTTAATGTTTCTACGATTAATTCTAGTGTTACCTATATTGACTTATAGAAACACCAAAACAGGCTTCCAAAGTGAGCAACAAGGTTAAGTCTAAAATAAGAACCGGAGAGAATAACATGGATCGCGAAGGTGGGAGTGGAGACAGTCATCATTCTAATCACGGGTTCTCGGATACGGCTCTCTCTGACAATAGAGAAGATGCAACTTCAAGTGGAGCTAGCACGCCCAGAGGAGATATACTCCCAACTCCGTTTGGAGTATTTTCTCAGGCTGCACACGAGGAGCACTTCTGTGGAAAGCCCTCAAGGGATTCTGGTACTGACAGAGAAGGGAAACCTAGGATCCAAAAGATTATTACATCAAAAGCAGAGGCATGGATGAATAAGAAGGGGATATCATGGCCGTGGAAGGGAAATGAGAGGGAAGGGTCAGAGGCAAAGGCCACCCATTTTGTCTGGCCCTGGTTGCACAATGATCAAGAGAATGACTCAGAACGTCTAAAGAGTTCCAGTTCTGTTGTAAAACCAGAAAGTCAAATGGGTGAGAGTAATAGGCCTGCAAATAATGAGGCTTCAGGGTCCTGGTCATCCTCGTTTAATGTCAACAGCACAAGCAGCGTTAGTAGTTGTGGAAGTACAACCAGTAGTGCTGTTAATAAGGTGGACATGGACTCAGACTGTCTGGACTACGAAATCTTGTGGGAGGACTTGACAATTGGAGAACAGATTGGCCAAGGTACATGGTTTCCCTAATAACCAATTACGCTCGTTAACTGTTGATTCTTACATTTTGAAAACTCTATTTTATCCTTAATGCCATTGTAGGTTTTGATTATTGGCAATTATGGCATTTAAGTAAAATTCCTTCTCTATTACCTTATTCCATCTTTAGTTAATTTAATACCGTTTGTATTATTATTAATCGATATTCTTACACACCCTAGTTTTATGCTATTGTTATTACTGTTATTTGAAGTTTCATAAAACAATAATGAACATGCATAAATCCCCATATGCCCCTCTAAGGGGCCTCTGTCATTAGATGCAAATTTGGCAGGTCTTATGGTTATTCATTAGACATAATTTCTCCTGTATGTAGACTCTGTTCTGTATGTTCATGCTATGATGCTTTCTGATTACATTTTTTCCTTTTTCTTAAAAATGACTCTGCAGGTTCTTGTGGAACTGTATATCATGCTCTGTGGTATGGATCAGTATGTTCTCTGGCTCTTCCTTTTGATAATTTTCATTTCTGAGAGTGCATGAAGAAAAATTCGTGAGTCCAGTTTAAGTTATAAAGTTACCGAGATAAGAAGTTATGGTATTGAACTCCATTAAGCCAAATATAACACTTTACCACAGATTATGTACAATGTGCATAAATTGTGACAATATGCTAGAATGCATCGCCAAGAGCTTATGCTTCTATGGCCCTACCATGTCTGCACATTATCCATATGTTAATAAGCCACTCAAATCTCCTAGGAAACATGAAATTGTATGGATAGGCACCACTGTCATATATTGCTGAGTCACTGAATGGAAAAGGGTGCATTTTGTCTGGGATAAGAGCATCTAATCCAAGGTTCTTTCTCTTTAGGCGTGAAGGACTATACTAATGGTATGTTTAGTTGGAGGGAAGAATCGAGAAGGGATGGATGAGAGGGGGGATGAAAACTTTTTCGTTGTTTGGTTGGAGGAAAGGGAAAAGAGGGAGGAAGCAAGGAAGGATGCTTCATCCCTCCTTCCTTTGTATTTTCTATCAGCCCAAAATTGGGAGCAAGAGGAGAGAGAGAAGTAATAACTAACACAAATATGGATTTTTTTATTTCTAACCGTCCTAAAAATTTGGGATAGATATAGAATTTTTAAAATTTTAAATAATGAGGGCATATTAGTAAAAGAATATAAAAACCATCTTTCCCTTCCTTCCAACCAAATAAAAAAAAAATGTGTTACCACATCCATCCTTTCTACTATCCATTCCATTCAACCAAACAAAAAGTGAGAGAGGCATCTTCCCTTCTCTAGGGATGCATCATCCATCCCTTCCCCTATCCCTTCCATATATTTTTCCATCCCTCCAATCAAAGGGAGCATAAGAGTTCAGGCTTGTTCCTGGCGAGGAAGACCCTTCCTATAAATCCACAGATCGAAAAACTATGTTCGCTTTCTCTAACGTATTCTATTTTTTTTTTGACAAATAAGTCAACAGTTGTTGAGGTTTTCCCAGAATTTTCTGTAGACTCCTCTGGGATAAATAGTATTTTTTGTGCATTATAATGAGATGAGATGATGGGATATTTTTCCAGCTTTAATCATCTCTCTAATCACATTTATAGAACGGAAAAACAACCAAAATGTTTTGGATGTTTCAATTTTTATGTGTGACTAAATGACATTCGTGTTTGGCAGGACGTCGCTGTCAAGGTATTTTCCAAGCAGGAATACTCAGATGATGTGATATTTTCCTTCAGACAAGAGGTGTGTTTTCACTGGTCAACACATCATTGAGAAACTCCTTGTGTAATTGAAAATTGATAAGCTTTTTAATTGTATTCTCATTCATTCTGGATTCTCAAATTAACTCATTCATTCATTCTGGATTCTCAAATTAATGATGACGTGAAGCCACTGACCAAGGAATGATTCTTTTAGCATTGTTTTCCTATGTTAGACACTCCGGCCTGTTTATTTGGAACACAGTACCAAGCATGGAAGTGTTCGTGCTTGTTCGTTTTACATTGTTCTCCAATTTACCATGGTTATAGGCACATACAATATCAGTTATTTCATTTACGTGCATAATTAAGATAATTAGAAAAAATATGTATTTCATGATATCCAGCATTACACAATCATCCGTGGTTATTGTCATTGTTTAAATGGCACTGGAAATTTGGGAAATTCTTAAGTACTTGATGCTGATAATTGTCATATTCAAGAGGCATATCTATTTTTCTCATTCGTCATTAAATGCTTGCTGTCTGACAGTAATCTATTGTTCCTGCTAAATTTTGGTGTCCTTAAGTTACATAATGAATATACCAAATCCTGAGGGTGGTAGCAAGGATATAACCTCTTGTTTTGATATGTTTTTTGCTAGTAATAATCTATAATGGATGCCTTAAAACCACCTCTCTGAATGTAGCTGGGTAGGATGTGCAGTTGCTTTTTAATTTTTTATGCTTTTAATTGTTACAAATTGATTTTTCTTAGAACTACTTGGAAGGAATATATTTTTTTACATTAGAGGTTTTTTTCCTCCTCAGGTATCTCTCATGAAAAGACTTCGACATCCAAATGTTTTGCTCTTTATGGGTGCAGTAACTTCACCTCAGCGTCTCTGCATTGTTACGGAGTTTCTTCCACGGTTCATACTCCACTTTCTTTATGAGAGATTTATTTTCAAGCAATTTGAGTCACTTTTCTTGTTTTCCACTCCAAAGAACAATGCTCTGTTTAATTTATTTGGGCTGGTTTGGAATGCTTAGAAGTTTGTTGTACTTTGACTGACTGGCTTCTCTACTTGCTACTTATATATGTTTATGCAGTGGAAGTTTGCTTCGGTTACTACAGAAGAATGCATCCAGAATAGATTGGAGACGGCGTGTTCACATGGCTTTGGACATAGTGAGTATAACAAGGTCCAATTTGCTTGTGGAAATGTCATTCCAATAACAAGATTCAGTATCCAAGCTTGGTGTAATTGCACCATGTTGGTCTGCATTTGTTTGTTTCATTATTTTTTCTGTTTTCGTAGCCCTCCTCATGGGGTGTGATGTTAAGCTGTTTTGCGAATTCTTAATGCTATATGTTTTGGTTGAAAATTGGTAACTTGTGTTTTTTGTAGCTGGTAATTTACACCTCACAATTATCCCTCATGCATTGTTTTATTGCTGACCCTTTCACAGGCAAGAGGCATGAATTATCTTCATCATTGCAACCCACCTATTATTCATCGCGATCTGAAGTCTTCAAATCTTCTAGTTGATAAAAACTGGACAGTGAAGGTATGCCTTTACTTCTGTTCATTCATATTTTTTCTTGCATGATTTTTGTTGTACTTTCTGATCTCCTTGCTTTGAGATCCATAGTCTTCTTTTTATATTTAATTTGAGGGCGATACTCTCATTATTTTCAACTCAACAGGTAGGCGATTTTGGTTTGTCACGTCTCAAACACGAAACATTTCTCACAACAAAAACTGGGAAAGGAACGGTACGCTCAGTGGCACTCATGACCGCTTCTTTTTAGTGTTATTTGTCATCTGAGTCTTAATTTTTCTCACGAGGGACTGCAAAAAATTCACTTTCTCAGATGACACACAATCTGTCTTTTTTCTGTTTTTGTAGCCTCAATGGATGGCACCAGAAGTTCTTCGTAATGAACCCTCAGATGAGAAGTATGTCTAATATAGAGCTTCAATTCCCCTGCTTCAAGTGACACGCCATGATTGTTCGTATATGTGAATTTTAAATATTTTTTCTTGTTTTCTTGAAATATTTAGGTCTGATGTATACAGCTATGGAGTGGTATTGTGGGAAATTGCCACAGAGAAGATCCCTTGGGAGAATCTCAACTCAATGCAGGTACTGTTCCATTTCAAAATTTTATTGATGATAAAGGAAGATCTGTTATGTCCCAAGAAGTGAGCTGGGTGTTTTTTTTCTTTCTGAAACACGAACTGTAGTATTTCATGTAGCACTGCCTCTATGGTGATTGGAACTGTAGTCTGCAGGGTTCATGAATCAAGAAATGTACTTAGTATTTTGTTATTTGACATTTATGAACATCAATTTTTTTTTCTTCATCTTCTTCTTGCAGGTTATTGGAGCTGTAGGGTTCATGAATCAACGGCTAGATATCCCAGAAGACTTGGATCCACAGTGGGCTTCTATAATTGAGAGCTGCTGGAACAGGTTTGAATTTTTTTTATGCTGCTTATCTAATCTAATTTGATTTCATTTTCCCAAAGCAATGAAAAGCTTCTACTATATGCACGTAATGGATAATACTTTCCTTCTCACTGTTAATAAAGAACCTACTCCAAAGCACTGGGGATAGGATGACACATGTCCTTTTTAAATTTCAAATATAAGAAAGAGAAAGTCATGCTTCTTACATCTTTTCCCCTTTACATATGGCTCCGATTGGTTTAGATAGAGAGTGAACAAGGAAAGAAAGGAAATAGAAAATTTTCATCACCCACTACAAAAACTTAACAAATACGGAACTGACCTCCGCTCTATGTATTTCCTTGGCTTGTTTGGACAACATTTCCATGTTGAAATTAGCCTGGTAAACTTTTCTGAGCCATCATGATTGCATCGTGTTCAAGCGCACATGCGCATACGGAATACAAGATATTGCCTAGAATCGTGTACTTCAACCCTAATAATTGGTATAAGGCTTTTGTTCCACGAACTTTAGGATGTATGCTCACTTAGGATTTGTAGCTTATGTCATTAGCGTTCAGCCATGGTCAAGACTTGAATTTGATATTTTAAAAGTCATTCATCTCAGTGGTGAAGGTGGATTGGATGTGTAGCTCATATAATTTGTTTCATGGCCAAAGTATAGTTCTCATTGTGGATATTGATAGGTGCTTGATTATAATCATAGTCAGATCAGGTATTTGCTGTCGTTTCAGTAATCGTCAGTTGTGGAATCATTTCTAATCATAATTTGAAGATTTGGCTAATTTACTCATTCGCTACTTTATGAAAATCAGTGAACCACAATGCCGCCCAACGTTCCAGGAATTGCTAGAAAAGCTAAAGGATCTTCAAAGACAGTATACTATTCAATTTCAGGCAGCTCGTTTTGCCACAGGAGATAGTAGCCAAAAAGAACTGTAGACACCAATGGTGTATGCTTGTGCTTTGTCGCCAGCTCAAGTATTCTCATCTTCGTCCAGATGTTTGCACCTGCCACAATGGCCGCGATGGGTTGACTATTGTCACAGGTTGCCACAATTGCTTGTGGTATCGGAACCACAAATTCAAATGCAGATTTGAGATGCAGATTTGAGATTTGAGCACACCGTGGCCAGATGAAGAAATGGAAGGCTTAGACACTGGTGGTCGCTTATGTGGGGTCTTGGTCGGTCGTGTGGTGTTTTTTGACACCATAAAATTCCTGTTACTCGTGTTCTTTTATTGGATTCATGTGATGGAAATCAAATTTCATTCAGTGATTGATTTTGTCATTTGAGGTCCTCTGGATTAATTTGTGATATTTATGAGAGAATGTTAGAAATACCATAGAAACAATTGTACATAATTATCACAATTTTTTTAACTGAAACGAAAACCATCCTCGTGTTCTAAGCTAAGATTTATGACCATATAAACAATTTTTTTTCCTAGGTCTGTCCAGATTTAATTTTTGTTGGGCGTCAATGTTTTAACCCATGCATTTGCATCCTAAAGTTACTTCCTATTAGGGTTCTATAACATGCGTTCGCTTGATGGAAGAAGGATTACATTTTTACTCCAATTCTCAATTTCCAGTCAATAGAGAGACAACTTGAATCACTCTGCACAAGGGCCAGTGATGGATTCTCAGCACTTCTTGATCCTACCCATAAAGCACCACCAGCTAGGAGTGCTTTTGGGATTTCAACCAGTACACCATCTTTTCTCCGTTTTCATTCCAAAAGTTGAACTTATTATGTTTGTACTCCCTAATAATTTTCTCATTAGTGCAATCGTAGATGTTTGAGCTCAATCATGAGAACTCAAATTCAAGTCAAAGCAGTAACTTTGCACAAAAAATAAAATAAAATAAAATTTCAGAGTCTAGTCTGTGTATCCAGTCATGGACTGACTGAATAATGATCTTTTATGAGGTACACAGTCAGAACCCAATTTGATCCTTAGATCTCAGTAGGATAGAAACATTTAGAAAAGGAATACTGTTTTTAAAATGCCTTTGCAACCGGTATGGATGCATATTGTTGTAAGTGAAATAAGCATATGAAGAAAAAAAAAAAAAAAAAAAAGGAAAAATATCAAACTCGATATTTAGCGTTGAGAAAGGTTATGCCAACCAACATGACACACACATGTGAGTATTCATTCTATAGTTCAGAAGTCTCAGTTGTCTGGCAGAAAGGCTTTCTAGTGAAGCAAGTATCGAATGGCAGCAACAGCATCACCTTTGTGCTCACGTAAAGTTCTTTCAGCCACCTTTTTGTCCAGCTGTTCTTGAAGTTGAAAGGTAGAAGGAATTAAATCACTGGACATTAATGAATGGCAGCATGTGAAAGAGCACAATAATTAGAAGAAGAAACCTAACCTCCAATTCATTTGCAATTATGTCAACATCAGCCGCGTTGATCTTAACAGCCGCCAATTCTTTCTCCCTGTGAGGAATGAGAACCATTACCACATGCCATGGTTAGTGATCTAGCAAATGTGTGAATAACAAAATCAGATAAATATGTCTGTTAAAAACTTCATGCTGTAATCCCCACTAAACATGGTCAAACATCAATTTTCATCAATTCAATGGTGTTGAATACATGTTCAAATATGAAAATATATATATTACTAAAAAACCGCCGTACTAATGAACCTGGAATTCTATGATGCTACTCTCATAACAAGTGACATAGTGAAAGTATTACGCGTTTAATTTTTAGGAAATAAAATAGAAAAAGAAACCCGTACTTTGGAGGTAGCACTTAGCTAATACTTTCTCTTGGAACCCTTTGAACAAAACTACAATAATTTTTCCAAAATCACAAAAAATTTCCACTGATAAGCCTCATTAGATGCCTCTTCCCACCTCCTAACAAGAACCCTCTCAAATGCATCCAACTAGAGTAAGAACAACTATTGGATTACAGTCCCATACGATCCATTAGATCTTGATCGTGTCCTAAACCCCAATCTATGCCCCCATTTTTGAAGGGAGAAAAACATCCCTATCCTCCACCTCTACTTGAGCAACAATTTATACATAGCTTTGAACAGCCCTCTTCTCTAATTGGTATCAATGCCAAAGAATCCCTCCTATCTATTGGCCATTTGACCCTAGTCCCAGTTCACATATGATGTCTTCAAGGAAATTAAGGAGTGGAGTCGAGAAATGTCAGTGTGTGAACCTCATGTATTCATAACACTAAGGTGCAAATGCTTAGTTGGAAAAGTATATTCCTTGAACTTCACCTAGATCAAATCTAAACTGCAAGTCGCAACGAGTTCAAAGAAATTGCAATGCGAGTATCCATAAGGACCAACCATTTACCGGCCATTTTTATGTCGAAAATTCCAATCATTAGGCTGTCTTTATGTTGATAAATCTAATCATAAGAATAATACAAATTTGACATTTGTAGATTTATTTCATTGTTCTTCTTTTTCCGTGTCAATCTAATTCACTTCAAACTTTGCAAAGTTTTCACATCAGACTACTTTACAGTTCCTCTTTGTCCTTGACTCGCACACAATATATTAGTTTGGATCAATAAATCCCTTTTGAGCTCTCACAAAGCAAGTACAGCATTTAGCAATTAATAAGTGAGCAGTGAGCACTGAACGACAACAATATGTTTGTCAATGGAGTGTTTGCATAACAAATTCAACAAAGATAATTAAACTATATTTTCTAATTGGCAATGATAAAAAAAAGATTCAGAACGTCTATCACATAACAAAAAAGCATGCAACTTCAGTCACAACAAGTCCAAGGGCATCTGTCAAATTGTTCATTGAAAGCACTTCCTAAAACTCATATTTTCAAATTTCATCTGAATTCCTAATTTCAAATTTCATCAAAATTGTGCGACACCTGAGATGATTACTGAATCGCGTACGCAACAACTTAACACAATTTAAACGCAAATTGTGATTAACATTTCGAATAATTCAATACAATATGTGTTTATGTGCAATACTCAGCTACCGAAGAGTCATACGAACCTCATTCTCATAGCATTCCAATCAGCCTCCTTAGATGCAGAAATCGATGCCATCGCCTGCCACAGACCACCAACATATATATATATATATATATATATATATATATATATATATCATAGTGTCATACATATTTGTATATATATCATAGTGTCATACATATTTGTATATATATATTTGTATATATATCATAGTGTCATACATATTTGTATATATATATCTGTATCATATATATATATATATATATATATATATAGTTACCTCTTGAACACGGGTGGAATCGAGCTGACGGTCTTCGACATGGTCGGTAAGCTTGTCAAGGGCTTTGCTCTGCTGCTGCAAGTCTTTGGAGTCCACTACTCTCTCTATCCCTTCGTCTCCACCCTCCATCTTCGCTGCTTCGTCTCTACTCGATCACAAAAATACAACCTTGGCTTCGAACAGAAGCCCTAGATTCTTAGCTGAGTCTGTTTGGGGAGGCTTAGGTCCAACTAAAGAAGCCCAAAATAAATAGACTGGACCGAGTGCTCGATTGATTCTGCAATCTCTATAAACGATTGAGTGTGAGCCCCGATCTGTATTGTGGCTAGGGTTTTTATCTAATTGGGCCAGCCTGTTGATTTGAATGGCTTATATAGGCTTGAACGGGAAGCCACTGAGAAGTTCTTAAATAATCTTGATTCATTAACACTTGATGGACCAGTTAAATACAGACTTTCGAATTGAGAAAATGGCCCTACAAGAATGTATTAATAAATTACAAAGTTTTATGATTGGGAATTTTCATTGAATTAGTCCACCAAATGTCAAATAGACCAGAACCATCTAATTATTTCTCGTACGTCGCTAGGTGAGTTGTTGAATTCAATTATGATAATACTGTGATTTTCAATAAAATTTTCAAAACAACCTTCGCATGATAACAACATCACCTTTTTTTTTTTATTTATATTTATATTTTTTTTTGGGGTTAGGTACACAAACTAGAATCCTTTTCTGTGTCGTTTTGTCGTGTACCCATCTTGTGTCTAATACAACAACTTAATATATTGAATGAGTATCATGTTTTAGTAATAAATATATTGTAGAACTTTTTAAAAGTTGTTATATTTTGTGATTTAGGTGTATTGCATTCAGTCACAAACTTAGTGAAATAACTTTTTTTTGTTATTTTATACGTATCAATTTTTTTTTTTTTTTTTTTTTTTTTTTTCTATATTATAAACTTATAAAGATTGAAAATTGCCTCTACTTAAGAAATAAAATAGTGCCAGACGGATTTGGGTGTTGTGGAGGGAAAAAAATTCCCTCCAATAAAAAGCGCACACGTCACCACTACACATATCTACATTCCAAGGACATATAAGGCCCATCAGGCTCAAGCCCAAATTGAGGGTATTTATAGCTCAAGACCATTGTTATTTGTCCTCCAACCTCTATCAAGGCCGAATCAAGAGGTTATCAGCCCAACTTGTTAATATTTAACATCCGGTCCGTTACTCAAGCCCAGCCGGATCAAAATATGTTCAGCCCAGTTATTCAAGAATGCACAAGTCCTACCAGTTGAAGGATTTACTGTAGAAGGAAAATTCTGAGATAGGAAGTTCTGTACAAGGCAAGTTCTATGTATGGAAAATTAGACAATGGAAAGAACTCTATTAGTAAAGAATGTTTATATAGAAAGAATTGGAGGGCAAGCAACGCGAGTCCTACCATAATTTTACAATCTTTTGTATATAAATAGAGGCTAAGACCTCCAATAAATGGATCAAGCAATTCTACGCTTCTCTATACACTGTTCTTATTTATTCTTATTGTTTTTTGAGTGTGTTGTTCTATTTTTCTCAATCATTATTGGTTGAGTGAAATTTTGCACCAACACTTTGGCGCCGTATGTGGGAATCGTATAAAAATATACTCCAACTTGTTCTTCAAATCAAATCCTTAGTCGTATCTGGAATGTCAAATGGAGAGTCAGCAATGAATTAACAGATAGAATTGATGCAAAAGATGCGAGAGGAGTTCTTGCACCAATTTGAGACACTCCGGCAAGCAAACGATACGAGTGTCGCCCAGATAGCTGCGCTTCAGCAGCAGACTCATACGCTGCACATGGCAATGGCCAGGCTAACGCCACAACCACCACCAGGCGATGCTGCAGCACCACCCCCCACCCAGAATTTACCTCCAGTTCACGAGCCTCCGGCTAACGGGACACCACCCAACGGGGCTCGACCTAATGAGGTTCAGCAAAAGCAAGGGACGAGGTCCGAGGCGGTTGCTTCGGATAATCTCCCGTGCCGCACACAGGACGAACAGGCCGAGTCCAGCCATAGGCTTACGGTATGGTCCAATGGCGTTCCAGATGGCGCACGCGTACAAGATGCCTTCGACGAAAAGAAGCTATTAAGAGTTCAGACACCAGCCGAGATGGTTAGAGAGCACAAGAACTCCTTGGTCAAGACCCCCTTTACTGACGATGTGTACTTTGTGGAGAGACCAAAGAAGTTCACTATGCCATCCTTCACTCAGTTCGATAGGGCAGGAGACCTTTCTCGGCATCTCGATCATTATGCGCAAAAGATGGCACTGGACGATCATAACGATCCGTGGATGTGTAAGGTTTTTCCTACCAGTTTAACCGGAGCAGCGTTAGAATGGTTCAGGAATAGGCCACACAAGTCTATCCCTGATTATGAGACCTTTTGCACTATGTTCTTAGCCCAGTATTGCGGAAATAAGAAGCAGAAGAAAAGTATCGCCAGCCTTTTCACCATAAGGCAAAGGAAGGGAGAAACTCTGCAAGATTTCTTATCCAGGTTTAACATGGAGGCCTCGGAGATAGCAGATTGCCACCCTGCCACGGCAATCGAGACATTTAAGTTGGCAATGATCCAGGGAACCAAGTTTCACACATCCTTCGTCAAATATTCCCCCCGGATATGCAGATTTTGAACGCTAGGGCACAAATCTACATTCGGTTGGAGGAAAACGTAGCCCACCGTGCACAGCACGCTACCCTCGTCACAGTGGAAAACAAGTCTCGAGAGAAAGCTGCGAACACAAGGATGCAGAAGGTTCCTCATACCGCCAAACAAGTCACCCAAGCGCCTGAGAAGAGGCGAAGGACAGAGGACAGGCTTACCCCTCTCCGTACTACCTTAGCGCGCCTATTCCAAGATAATAAGACGAGGTTCGCAACTCCTCAGCCCATGAAACAACCCTTGGAGCAGAGGGACAAAAGCAAACATTGTGCCTGCCATAGAGACTATGGTCATACCACCAATGACTGCAGGTCCCTTCAGCGACAGGTAGAAAACATGATAGCGAGAGGAGAGTTGGTGGAGTATCTTGCCACGAAGGAGTACGTAAAACCTCGGGAGGTTAACCCTCGACGGGTAGAGGGCGGTCAGGTAAAGGTTATCCATGCTATACACGGAAGGTCAGAGGATGATGAAGAGTCTGAAGAGTTGTACAGATCCAGGCTGAGAGAGGCTCATAAGTTACAAAGATTGTCTTCGGTAAACACGGTTGCACCAGGCAGCATCAACATTGGATTCGGTAACAATGATCTGTCTAGAGTCCAACGCCCGCATGAGGACCCCTTGGTCATTAGCTTCCTGGTAGCGAATTATATGATCAGGAGGGTGCTGATAGATCCGGGAAGTAGCGCCAACATCATTACAAAAACAGCTTTTGATCAGTTGGGGGTTTCACCATCGTCCATCAGGCCAACTTCCAGCCCCCTAATGGGATTTGATGGTACTAAGGTGAATCCGCTTGGGGTGATCGATCTATCCGTTACTGCAGCAAAAAGGACTCTGAAGGAGAACTTTGTCGTGACGGAGATTCATCCATCTTATAACCTCATTATGGGGAGATGTTGGATCCATCGTATGAACGGAGTCCCCTCTACCCTTCATCAATTAATGAGGTGTTTATCCCCAGATGGCAGGGAAGTCATCGACCTCTGGGGAGACCAGGTGGCTGCAAAAGAATGTTACATGCTAACGCTACATGAAGCAAAGAAGGCGTCGAAATCACCTCAGTTAGAGGCGCATCCCAAAGGCGCAATCAAATAGCAGTTACAGTATCCTCTGCCCAAGTATCTCAAGGCAGAGGAAGAAGCCGAGGCTGAAGCACCTATCGAGGAGTCCCTCGAAGCTATAGAGGTAGTCCTCGGAGACCCTCAGAAGGTCACCTACATTGGCTCATCTTGCACAGCCGAAGAGAAGGAAGCATTGATCAGGGTCATTCGGTGCAATTCGGATGTCTTTGCCTGGGATCACTCGGACATGGTGGGGATCGATCCGATGGTCTCATACCATAGTTTGAGGGTTAACGCAGAATTCAGGCCAGTCAAGCAGAGGCACCGACGGTCCGCACCTGAACGGAATCGCATAATAGCCGAGGAAGTAAATAAACTATTACAAAGGATTCATTCGAGAGGTGCAATACCCACAATGGCTCTCAAATGTAGTAGTCGTTCAAAAGAAGAATGGGAAATTGAGGGTATGCGTAGATTATACCAACCTTAACAAAGCTTGCCCAAAAGATAGCTTCCCTCTGCCCAAGATTGATCAAATGGTGGATGCTACGACAGGTTATGAGAGACTTATATTCCTCGATGCATACTCCGGCTATAATCAGATTCCCATGAATCCTGAAGATGAGGAGAAAACCACTTTCATCACAGAGACGGGCACTTACTGCTACAGGGTGATGCCCTTCGGTCTAAAGAATGCCGGAGCCACCTACCAACGACTTGTCAATAAAATTTTCAATAATCTACTGGGGAATACAGTTGAAGCTTATATCGACGATATGGTGGTCAAAAGTATACGGAAAGAGGACCACTCGAAGCACCTCCAGGAGGTCTTTGACACTCTCAAGAGGTACAATATGAAGCTGAACCCCACCAAGTGCTCCTTCGCCGTCTCGTCAGGACAGTTCCTCGGGCACATTGTAAATAAAAGAGGAATAGAAGTAAGCCCAGCTCAGGCAAAGGCACTCATACAGAACCAAGAGCCAAAAACCCGCAGGGAAGTGCAAGTTCTAACCGGCCGAATTGCGGCTCTCAGCCGGTTCATATCCCGATTATCTGATAAGTATAAACCTTTCTTTGATGCTATTCGATCCAAAAACAAAGATATGTGGGGACCTCAGCAGCAGGAAGCTCTCAATTAATTGAAAAGCAACATGACCAAACCCCCAATCCTTTCTGCTCCAGCGCCCGGAGACACTCTCATCCTGTACTTGGCAGTATCAGCTGTAACAACAAGCGCAGTGTTGATCAAAGAAGGAGGCAAGGTTCAGCACCTAATCTTTTACACAAGCAAAACGATGACGGATGCCGAGACACGGTACAGCAAGACGGAAAAGGTAATCCTGGCGTTAATTTATGCCAAGAGGAAACTTCGACATTACTTCGAATCTCACAGCATAGTGGTACTTACAAATCACCCTATACGG